GGAAAGAGCAAGCACAGTTTATGCCTTTAAAAAGCAGAAAGGCCATATAAAGAATTTCTGGCTAGATAGTGAGATTTAAGAATAAAATAAACCCAAAACTGGATAATCAAGTATTCTCCCCATTAGGACTTCAAATTTGTATGGTCATAACCAACAATCACCATGGGCTTGTCAAGGACAAACCGTAATTAATTCATCTTATTTTCCCTCTCTGACAGGCTAAGAGGCCTTGTGGACAAGGAAAAAGCAGTAGATATCACCTCTTTGCATGTTAGCAAGCCTTTTGACATTATGAGGTTCTCATAAATGAGCTAGGAAAACCTGGTTTGTTTGAAAGTGCAGGAAGGCGAGTGCACAAACAGCTGGACAGTTGTAACAAAATAATAGTTGTCAAGGATTCACAGCCAGTGCAGAAGATATATTGATTAGGGTTCTCCAGTATTATTGAAATACTTGGTATTTCAAGCCACTTGTGACTTGTATTTTTTTTTAATTTGCAGACAATGCCAAGATGTAAGCACTTTAGGAGATAAGCTTAAAAAGATTTTGACTAACTATGGCAGAATTCAGACAGTAGAGCACAATTCAGTACCAACAAGCACAGAGCATCACATTTGTGGCAAACTGTAGAAGAACAAGAGAAGAAATAACTGAGTAGGTAATAGTTCCTCAGAAAGAAGTCTGGGTATGACAGTGAATGAACTGAACTCGACCCAGCGCCATCCATGAGCTCATCTTTGTGGCTGCGTGGTGGTGGGCAGTACTGCAGAAACCTGGGTATTAGATGCACAAGCATCCTCCCACTCGCCCTCCAAAGGGCCTCTGCAGAAAGGGCCCAGTTCAAAGTCCTTCTAAAACATACCAAGAAAAACCCTGAGGAGGATTCTGCAATAGAAAAGAAGGTGACCAGACATCTAGAAAGTGTGACTGACAGGGAAAAAAAAAGATTGTTTAGTGAGGAGAAGGCGGAGGGAGATGCTCTCAGTCTTTCATATGCAGAAAGGTGAGGAAAAGGAGGAGGCAATAGACTTCCCTGAAGATCCACTGTGAGATGAGTAAAGTAGCAGATTTAAATTACAGCAAAAGGAAATTTAGGTTAGGCAGCTTGCTGAACAATAAGAACAATCAGACAGCAGAAGAGATTGTCTGGAGGGGGTTAGAAATCTTCATTACTGCATTTTTTCATAGAACAGTTAAATAGCTTTGTGTTGGGAATGCTGTAGCCATAGATGGTCTTGGCTTGGCTTTGAAGACAGGTCAGATGAGTGTCAAGATTCAAAGTTATATTCTGTATATCCTACTAATTTTTAACATCAAGTGTAACTTATAACTTTATATTGCAATCCAGTTCTTGCTTTATACTCTCTTGCGGAAAGCTAGAGGACATATGCCAGTAATAAATATGTTACTTAAGGAGAGTACTTAAAATAACCAAGCAGTCAGAAACTGTAAACGTATATAGTGTTGCTATTTTAAAGGCATATGAGTTTAATCTTTTGTACATATATAGTCAGGAAGATTAATAAAATACTGATCTAGGCACTCTACTTTCTCCATATGGATATGTCCAGATTCAGATTACGTGTTCGTCAGCATTGCCTTTAAGTCTCCATATAAGACACAGATTGTGTTTGCCTGATCTGAAGCCTGCTGTGGTCAGTAGGAATCTCTCTAATGCTCTTTAGTGCATCACTTTTCTGTTCTAGCAGGTTGTTCTCTTGAGATGCTCATAATGATCTCTGAGCACCTTCCATCTGCATTGTCAGGAGTGCAAGTGAAATACTTCATGTGTTTATTTGCTCACCTTCTTTCTCCAAGAAGAAATATGTGCACACTTGGGTGTATTGTATTTGTTAGGGTTTTTCTTTTGTTTTGAAAGTGATGCAACTGCTGAATTTTGAAAAATGCTTTAATATATACATTTAACCTTCCTAAAAGCTTACCGATGTAGCATCTTCCAAGGACACATAATCAAGGACAAGAGTATAAAGTGATTCCCTGTTGATACATGCAGTTGGTATGAGAGTTGAAATCTCTGTGCTAGCAAAAGCAAAGGACATTTTTCTGCTCTCTCAATAGGGCCAAGATTTCCTTCAACATGTTTTACATTCCTTCAGCAACAAATAATGCAACGACTAATTAACAATGTTTAGAAAGCATTTGCATTATGCAAAGTTTCAGTAAGCAGCTACGCCCTATACCTTCCCAATGAGACATGTCATCCTCCTTTTATGGATGGAGAAACAGAAACATGTTCATGAACATGCAGCAGCGTGGTGTTCAGCAGCAAGATTTTGCACTATCAAGTCAGAACTGTGACCAAAGGGTCCTGCTGGCTTACAGCCATGGTGCTACCCAGAGTTATAGGAGAGGAGCCCTGGGGACTCTAACAAGCCTTACTGGCCCTGCCCAGCTCCACCTTGACCTCCCCACACCCCTGCCCATGGCCCAGGACTCCATTTCAGCTCAGCCTGGGGGTCATGTGTCCCTGCCCCAGTAGCACCACAGGAGTGCCGGTCTCCAGCCATGCTTCTTGGATGGACACCTTGAATGCATGTTGTAGCTTGTCTCCAGTTGTGCCCCTGGTCTTTCCCCCTTTTGCTCCTGGTTGGGCTCCCTCAATGGCCCCTGACCCTGGTTCATCACCTGCATGTTGGGGGTTGTTGATGGGACCCTGTTACCAGCCCCCAGTTCTGCACCTGGGCTCAGCACCTCCAGGATGGTGCCCAGAGTGCCCAAACAAAAGACTGGACAAAGATCCCACAGAAAGTCCTAGAAATGCCCAACTGTCCTCTTATCTTGATAAAATAAGAATTTAAAAAATCCCCAAATGTTGCTTCTCTGGCATCCAGAAGGAATACATCCACCTTCTTGTCTATGTAGGATGAAAATAACTCTGCTTTGTAGAGACCCCAGAATGTGTAATCATAGAATCATAGAATGCTTTGGGTTGGAAGGGACCTTTAGAGGTCATCTAGCCCAACCTCCCTGCAGTGAGCAGGGACAGCTTTAACCAGATCAGGGTGCTCAGAGCCCCATCCAACCTGACCTTGAATGTTGCCAGGGATGGGGCCTCTACCACCTCTCTGGGCAACCTGTTCCAGTGCTTCACCACCCTCATTGTAAAAAACTTCTTTCTAATGTCTAGTGTAAATGAAAAGGGGAAATATTATGGGACATATTATGGAGGAGATAGCTAGTCCAAATATTGGAGCATTACTTGGATTTCCTGCTCTGGGCTTAGAAAACACAGTTGCAGATTTGAGTAGAAGGTACTTTAAACAGTAACAACTGTGTGAGAGAAGGTACGTGCAGGCATGAGGGAGAAAGGCAGCACGTGCTGCGAGTAGGACCAGCACCACCAGCCACTGATACTGCTTCCAGCTGTAGAATCATAGAATCGTTTAAGTTCAGAAAGACCTTTAAGATCATCCAGTCCAACCATGCTGTACTGTGATAAAGAACTGGCAGCTTATGTACGACGTGAGGCAGCTCTGCTAGAGGGAACATATAGCACTTAGGATGCAAGGAAGCAACCTCACGTCTTCCGCAGAGAGCATCCAGCATTTAGAAACTATATAATGCACTAAAATTTAGACCTCTGCCACCAGTGAGTTGTCTTCTTTCCCACATCATTTGTTCCAGAGATCAGCAGTGAACTGTGGTGACCCATGGAGATAAAATGCAGGGGAGGGAAGGTGTCTGGGACCACTGTATCAACAGGTGATGAGAAAATGGGTACCACTATAATTTCAGACCCTTCACTAACATGCAGCTGCATCATATCTACCCCAGCTCACCTAAAATAAAATTAGTTCCAGTAGCTC